CGGAAGGAAATGCAGTCGTCAGGTTCTTGTGGGCAAGTCCTTCCAGAGCTCGGTCATAGCTGCAACTGCTCGAAATCATCCCAAGTCGTATTTTGCGGAACCGCCCCCAAATTTCAAGTGTTGTGATTGGTATTTTGTAAGAAAAGGGGCCCTTGTTTGGAAAAAGACCCAAGATGAAAACCGGGAAAATGAGAATTAAAACCAGGTCGTCGCCTATGTTATCCCGAGATCCTCAAGGCACGGTGCCTCGTACCTGCCCTGTTTCATGCCTCAAAGCAAGTAAGTCCTTGATTCTCACAAAGTCAAGGCGACAGAGTTGGCATATAAGTTGTTTCCCCATTAAACCCGGACTGGGGGGGGGGTGGGAACGAGGAAAATCGAATCTCGGAATCGGGGGATCTATGAGCATCTTTTCCCAAAGATATACTTTTTTTTTGTTTTCCCTTCTCTGACACTGAACCAACACACTGACCGGAAATGTCGGGCGGAACCAGCCACGGACCTTGCCTAGAGAGAGAGGGGAGAAAAAAGGCGACGCGACTGCCTACTCTCCAAGGCGGGACAAGATGTCGCACTGCTACTATGTATAAATACGTTTTTGCTTTCGTGTGGCCAGGATGCTGAATCGTGCAGAGCGGATGGTGCTTTGGTGGGGAAAAGGAAGGGTCGCAAAACCGTTGTGACACGCGGGCCATGCCGTATAATTTGCTTGTCTTTCTTTCTTTTTGATTCTGGAAATGCACGCAGGCGGACGGATGCTGCGTGATTAGGAAGAGGGACCGGATGCTACGGTGTTATCAAGAGAATATGAGAGAAGAGTTGCAATTTGTGTGGACAGTGTGTCAGAGAATGTAGTATCTTGGGTTGAGGTTGTATTACCTTAGGTAAGCCAAGTAATTCAGATCCGGAATGAAGTTATGCCAAAGAGAGAGTGTGTCACATGAATCTTTGGTGTTGGGGGGAGGGTCGAAGGCCCCTGCGCTGACCAAAGCCCCAGGAATGTGAGGAAATCCCGGAAACAGTATTAGGAAAGTTAGGCAGGGCGGGAGTAAGGCTGACTTTATAATCGAAAAGGTCCAGATACAGTGTTATAAGACAAATAATAAATTTTGGAGCCCCCCCCCCCAAAAAAGGCGGGTGTTGTGACATACTCCCAGAAGGGTCTGGACTCACCGGGTAGGCCAGCCGAGACGCAGGTGCAACAACAACGTTAGAGCCAGCAGGCTGAATATAAATACAATACAGGCGAGTCGTGTGTTGTCCGGACCCAGGTGGTGGCCCTTTTACGTTTTACCCCATCAGTATGGGAATAGCGACAGTCCAAATTTGTCTAGAACGCCATCCTCTTGGTCCAGAACATTGATCTATGTCGAGGTGGGGGCCCTGAACGTGCCAACACCAGGCAATCAAACGTCTGTACGGACTACACGGGTCATCACCATTGAGGCATAGGTCCAGGAACAAAGACATGCTAGTGAACAAGAAAGCAAGAAAACGATCCGAGCCCTCCGGCGTCTCGACCAGCCTGGACGTTGTGCAAAAAGGCCTGAAGAGGGATGCACCGGGGGGTTCCATGGCAGTCTGGACCATCTTTCAAGTTGCTCCACACCCCGCTGGTTGTGCGCAAGTACAGTACAAGGCCTGCATTAGGGACCCTCTCCGGGTTACCACTGCAGCTTGCCGTGAGCCCGTGTCGTACGATTCTTTTTCTTTCCAGAATCACAGGATATGAGGGAGACGTTGAGCCAGAACAACATGTTGGCCATGTATGTGTACCTACTTTTGAATCCTCTATTTCATCGTCTCCCGACGGTGGCATATACACACAAATTATCTGCGGTATCGAAGCAGACCCGAAAATAAATCTACTCGACTCGAGACTCGCTGACATGAAACCCTTGCCCGCATCCAGATCTGTCATGACAAGGATGCGGGCCCTGAAAGTCTACATAGTTTAAGGACTTTGGTGTAATCAGCATTCCTTGGCCCCTGTCTACTTCTGTATGTCCCACCACCGGTTGACCGGTCGAGCGTAAGTTTTCCATCATAGATCAAAGCCTCATTATTAATGACTGACTTGTATTACTTCGTTTCCCTTCCCCTCCCCCGAAGTATCACAAGAGGTTCTTTTTTTTATCTTCTTCTCAAAAAGAGGTCCCCGATACGTATACGCAAGGAGGTCTGAGATAATCAACGCGTCAATCGAGAAATCGGGGCACGTCATGAGACTTGTGCAAGCCCCCCGAGACGGCTTAGCCCGCAAGGCGGATAGGTGCGTCTAGATCATTCTAGGCTCTACTCCATATCATGTCAAATGGCCCGAGTCGGCCGGATCATTATCAGCACATTATATATGCAACCTTCTCTCGACACGCAGCGACTCGAACTGCTTGGAGTGTTTGTATACATATAATGGTAGGAGGCATTTCGGGTAGGGAGGGGCTTCAAGCAACGTAAGTATGACCTCAAGGTATGGAGTCGCTCCGTGCACGAGGCAAGAGAAAAAAAATCTAATTCTGCCCATTGATTAACTAAAGACATCTCGCTCGTGATGGACCGTCCGGACTCTATTGACTTCCCGCGCATGCTCAGATTGTCCATACCTTCCTGTAGGTCACCAACCCGGAAGTTTTGCTCCGTGGCCCTCGTCCAGCCTCGACAACCTCAAGACATAAAACCCAAATTCCACTGGCAGGGGGTTTTGGGAACCGAAATGGACTTCCCTTCTCTCCATCTCTCGTCAGCAAGTTGTTCTCTCCGTTTTGTTTTGAGTCAGTCCATGTTTCGTTCTTGTTTCTCACGCGCCTTCATTCCCCAAACATGATTTGCTTGCCCTCGCAGAAGGGCGGCCGGGGCCTCTGACTACCGACCTAGCTACCTCCTGCTCCACGCATACACAAACCCCGTCCCAGCCCAGCGCTCGGATCGAACGACTCTTGGGCATCTGGGGAGCGCTGTGTTCGTCATGATGAGATATGCCCCAGACATTCTCGTTCGCACATGAGTCACTGCACTGGCCGCTGGCGTCTGGGCACTTTCGGGGTGTCCTAGGGAGGCTTTTGCCCGTGGCTGGCTGCCTACCGACAAATTAGCTGCGTAGGCCATGCTGAGAATGTGATTAAGAAGTTACTTCTTCCAGCTTGTCATCTATTTCGGCCAAAGATTTTGTATTCGAGGCTGTTCTCCCTCGCAGGCTTTAGTAACGTGGAAATACCGCGGGAGCACCTTTCTTTGACCTCAACCTGGCATGAAGAAGAAATTATACAACAAATTGTGAGATCTCTCAAACACAGAGATGACCTGCAACCAAGCTGGAGAGCGGCCAGCTACTTCAATACACACTCACACAAGACTGGAGCCTCATAATCTTGGGTGTACTTGCCAGGCCTCAGCAACGACTTTGCGTTGGCCCTTCCGACCTCCTGAATGTTCTTATAGTTCTTGATCCCACCAACGGGGTTCTTGACCCGCTTCTTCTGGCCATCACACCAGTTACAGCAGTTCTCAAAGGTCTCATACGGGTAGTCGACACTGAAGAGCACACGGTCCGCGACGAGCTCAACAACAACGTGCTTGAGCGTGTGAGTGGAGTGGTGCCCAACGGGACTCATTCAGGTGCTTGTTCTGAGGTATTCGTTGTAAGAGATTCAGTCACAGACCATCAGAAATTATGTATATGTTTGTCGCTTGACGCGTCTTCAATGCAGTGAAAGATACGGTAGAAGTCGAGGGGAACATGTTCGTCCAAGTGACCCACGATGACCTTAGTCTTTGGGACGCGGTCGAACACGCTGTTGGTGTCAAGCTCCAGGATGTGTAGGCTCATACCACCGACAAAGGACAGCGGCGTACCGTCCAAATACTTTGTGCTGGGCATGTAGCATTGCGTCGTGGAACCAAATCCTTAGGCGTGGATATAGAGAGGAGCTTCGAGATTCTAGAGGACCTGTCTAAAGACGGCGTGATGTTGGAAGTAGCAGATAAGAGCGCCATGGAAGCCGAGCTCCTTTTTGAGGCAGCAAACCAATGCCACGCCGGTCTTGCACGGGGTTGTGCATCGACAGGCAAGCAAAGCTCCCTTCTCCCCCGGGTGGCTTGTCGGGCTGGCCTTTCATCTCCTTCGCAACCCAGTTGTTATGCTTCTAACGCTCGGCGCTGGGTCTGTTCGTTGTCGGTAGTCAGTTGGAAGCTGGGGATGTTAAGGGGGGACGACGGTGTAAGCAATGCTCCGTGCTTGTCCGCCTCCTTGACACGCATATCATGAGTTTCGTGTGGATGGCGGTAGATTACCGCTCTGGATCCATCTTTTCAATAATACAGAGATGCTTCTTACTCAAATTTAGCCACGTCGCCGACCATTCGGTTGCCTCTTCGATTGCAACTTTGCCCAACATTTTAGTGGATCCGAATGGCCATGGATGAATGACTGTATCTACCTGGGTAAGTAAAGGTTGGAGGTGAGTTCCAGGGAGAATGCCATTCAAAAGGGTTGAGTCTCTTAAAATCGTGAAAAAATATTGCTGAAAGAACTCTTGGTCTCTCAACCACGCTCTTTATACATTCAACTCCTAAACAATTGTCCATCGTCGAAAACTGCGTTGCGTCTCTCTCGGAAACTCGCTGAAGTCAAATCCTCGCGCATTGGCATGATTGTACCTGCCCTCTATTTCAACGATATGCCAACTTTGATGAGTGACAAATGGATAAACTGGGAACGCACAACTTTCTCAAAGAGGCGATACGGGCGGCAATGCGCAGGTACAATTGTTACAGTCCTCAAGAACGTCGCCGACCAGGATCCGAGGATGAAAGACATCCGGACCAAAGAATAAGAGATATGCTAGTAGTGTAGTTCAATAATATGAATTTAATTCCATTTAGCGAAGAGATTCCCTACACATATGCTTGAAATTTTGAGACATCAAGTTCGTCGTGTGGGCCTTAAAACTGGTGTATATGTACTGGTGGTTTTCCTTAATAGAACTACTGTAAAATCCTGAGGTCAGATGGCCGAGTGGTTATGGCGGCAGATTTAAGTAACAAGTTTCAAAACTCTGCTATCCGAAAGGATGCGTGGGTTCAATCCCCACTCTGATCATCTTTTTTGGATTTTTGCTCTGCTGACATAGCCTGCATAAGTGACTACTATTTTCCATAATCTGGACAGTACATTCGCGTCCGCATGGCCGCCACATGGGTCTAACCGCCGGGGGCTGGGGTCAGTGCAGCGTAGGTGTTGACAGCGTCTTGTCCAAACCCTCGGTTACATGCGCTTTGGATAGCACTTGGCTAACAAAGTCAAATATGAGTTGTGTATCCTGGAGAAGAGGACTGGTAATGCCTCATAGTCTACCGCTTAGAAGAGCGTTTGGGCGTGGTAAGAATGGATGAATGAGGGTTCTCTGAGATTAGTGTTAATATTACGTCCACCACAATTAAAGGCCAAGGCCCCTGAGTACATTTTCAACACCACAACAACCCAAGACTTTTGAGGTGGCTCCAGCAGTGAAGTTTACGCATCGAACGCGGTAGTGATTATAAATTGTATGTAACATGTCTCAACATGATTGAGACATGTAGAATTCGCTATGATGGAAGAAAGAAGGATGTCTATATTCCGACAACCGCCCCCTTTAGCCCTCTATGACTACACATTCTTAAAGCAGCCCTGCCCCCCTCCAAGAGGTGACACTAGTCGTCAGGGAAATACTCCTTGATGTTCGACACAAACGTGCATGTTGAACGATCGAATCTCTTGAAGAACTTCCCCGCAATGCCCATCAACGCCTCTGGTATGAGACTCGGGTCTCGGATGATCTCAATGGCATCCTGGACAATGACGGAACGGTCATGCCTATGCGTCCTGCGACACGAATATTAGGCCAAAGTTCCTGACAGATATAAACCGAATAGGGGCCCATGGAGAGAGAGATTTGACTCACAAGCATGTGTAAAACACTTTCTTCTTCAGCCTCGCCCTCAGCGTGTCCGTATCACTCCCCGTGCCCGAATCCGACATCTCATTCATCACCTCCTCCATCGACAAGCTGTGCGCCACCGGCAGCGAATGTGTCCCCTTGGCGCCCCAGCCGTTGAGGATCCCGATATAACCGTACCGTTTATGCCGAAACACCTGGCCCACAGTGTACCACACGTTCTTGTGGATCTCTTGCGTGTACCGGCGTGACGATGTCGGCAGCCTGGCGTCCGAGTTGCGCAGCAGCCGCAATACTTCTGGCACGTTCTCGAGCGTAAAGCGGTGGCGCGGCTGGACAGACTGTGTGTAGATTGTGTACAGCGGCTCGATGTACTCCTCCACCAACCATGCGTCCTCGGGAAAGTAGTGTGTTACATAGTGCAAGAAGTCGTCGAGATTGCTATCCCATTGAAAGTTACTGACGGGTGTCATTAGCAGGTTCGCCCAATTTGCCGCGTACACGGCGCTCTCGATGGTGCGCCGTGAGGATGGCTGGTCATCGCGCAAAACGGCGAGGTGCTCAACAGAGAGATATTCTTGCCGTCGATGCAAAAAGTCGTGAAAGGTCATTTTCATGTTGCGCCCTACTCGCTGCACGAGTATAGGGACTGGCGCAGGGACGAGGAAGGCTTCTTGGCCGTGGTGCCAGTCAAACTCGACAAGGCGGGAGCGCAAGTCACTTAGGTGGACCTCTTCGCTCGAGCTGTAAGGGTCGAGGAACATCCTGTCGACGTCGGTCGTGGGAGGTTGTGGTCGGTTGCCGTCCAAATCAAATCCCAGCGGCGCCATGACCATCGCATGGACGTGGCTCGGGAAAGCGCAACACGCCGCGCGCAATCCAACCCTCTCAGCCAAACATGTGTAGATCACGCACGACACGATGGGTAGTGAAGGATGGTTCGTGTCTCGCAGCGCATGGCCCAATAGACAGTTGCGCAAGCAACGGTAGTTGGTACCTTCGTCATCCATGCCAGTCATGTTCTTTTCTCGTAACCACTTCAACAGAGCTAGCGCCTTGTCGCGCGCCGGCGCAGTCTCAAAACCGTCCTGCTCATGTAAAAACTCTTCCGCTATCCGGTCCAGCAAGGCACATATATCGTCGATATCTCCATCATCTCCGCGGATGAAGAACATGTCGAAGGCGGCTAGGGCGCGGTCGATGCCTTGAGCGGCGAGCGGGGTGCGCTGGTAGCGATACCATTCGTCGACGGCGACGCTTCGGTGTATGCTCGACAGTGCCAGGTTCGCATAGTATCTGCTCGGTGTCAGTGGCGATCGCAAACTCAATGAAGCGACTTGTCATACCGCCTGGCCAGGCAATCCTCAACAGACTCGGGGATGTTGGCCTGCTCCAAGAGGAAATCCTTCGCGTCATAGCGGAAATGACAGAGCCGTCCCATCTTCAGATATCGGTTCACCTTGGTGGAGATTATACCATCGAGCAGGCGAGCGATCAAGTCGTTGCGATATTTGCGCTTCCTCCACAGCTGTCGCCACGGCGTCTTGGACGCTCTTGATTCCAGTTTGTCGCCGAAACAATGCTCTGGATTCCAAAAGCGGAAGCATGTTTGGCAAAAGTATTTCCATAGCAGTGGTTCGAAAGCGACGCGCTTGATCCGTTTCGAAACCAATGGGAGGTTGTCATATGCTTCCTCGGGAGGCACGTGTTGGATAATTTGCCGTATTATCTCGACGGGCACATCGTCCATGGACGCCATTGCGACTCGATGACGACTCGACTTGTGCGCAAACAATTGAGAGTTTCTGGAAGGATGGATGCAATATTCTTTAAGAAGGCTGTGCAGATCCAGGTATATGGATGGGGGAAGTTGTGGTGGAGGGGAAGACTGCTCTTAATGGGCAACCGGTCGGTGTTGACTGTTTGCGAAGGACGGAAATGGACTTACAGCTGAATGACTGGTTTCGGAGAAAAGGTTGCAATGTCGTCAGCGGAGCCCCGAGCACAGATTGCGGCAGAATGCACTGGCAGGGGTTAGCCCTGAGCCTTGGTTGGGCGCTAGAACCGACGGCTCTTCCCGCTGCTGACAGCTGGCTGACCCTGAGACACTGCCATCGCTAGTGAGTGAGTTGCAGGTCTTTCACATGCTAATTAAATTGCCTCACGTATAAAACTACATCCCAAGGAGTAGATACCTCCTATAGGCAAGCCAAAGCATGCAGAAATTTTTGGAGGGGAATGTGGTCACTTGCAAATTGTTAGATGAATCATCTGGATATTGCCTCATCAATTTGTACCTATATTGACGTCCTTGTTTTTAGATCGCACGTGCTATGATTGAGTGAGAGCTGCACATGGACGATGCCCACCAATTGGCAGATATTTTCATACCTGGTTCAGGGCAGCCTGATGTCTCTAAGAAGTATCAGTCTCTTCTCGAAGACTGCAACAGAGTCGAAGCGGACTTGCAAGCCTGATACATCTGACCGAAAGATGAATATGAAAGAGTGGTCTTCGTTTGTGATGTAGGTAAAAGACTTGGCGCATCAATATTCTGTGGGAGGCCCGTGCGCTGATAACCATTTGATACATAACTACCTTCAACATTTTACGCCTTACGCTGTCTACCTACCTAAGTATCTAGCTATACCGCATCAGGGATTTAGTGGTCTGTAGAGGTGATGTGCTACCCTGATCAGGACCCTTTCGAAATATTTGAGCAGCGTCTCAAGATCGAGACTAGGCTACTACTTACTTGTACACCAAACTTGCCTTGAGCCAGTACATGCCTCGAGCTTCTGGTGTCTCGTCATTTCATAGTATTTTCTTCGATTTCGAGATTCTAACATGGGTACGTCAGCTGGGTCTCTGTGGGTGCCCTTGGCCTTCAAAATGGTTCTGATATGTCGGGCCTTCAGTTGTTTGACGGGTGTACTTTTGCTGGAAGTCATCGTCAATATACCTCTGAATATTGAATTTGAGAAATAGGAGGGAAATCTAGGCGAAGGGATTATTCTCCTCGCTCATTATGAAGCGTATTCTATAGCGTCATTAATGTTTTTGAATTATGACTCTCCTCCGTTAGGCGGTGCGAGAAGCTTGAAGCTTGTGGATGCTAGACTGGTCGATCTTCGAGTCCTAGCCTCACCATCACGAGACCGGAGTGTATATAGATGACAACCAATCTAGGAGCTATACTATTCGACTATTTTTTTAAATGCTCGAAGTATTTTCATTTAAATTAAATGTGACCTTCTGCAGTACAGACTCCATATCCACCACCAACACCGACACTGCCTACCTAGGTAGGTAGTGGCACTGAGCACGTCGAACACCTCTTTTCTGTTCGACACTTCTCACAAAATTCGAAAAAGTTTCCTCGACCTCAGATTACAATGGATAATCCCACATGTACCCAGGGTTCCGAGACTGGTGGCACTCAGTGCACCAGACGTCCCAGAGTTCGGCTCACATTCAACAGGATGGTGCGGGTACCAACTGCTGCCCGTTTCGGGCTACGAAGATGTCCACAACATTCACTGGCAGGCCGTTCTTACAGGTATGGCTTCTTGCAATCATGGCTAGATCCAGAACAAGTCTTGTCCACAGCTCAAGAGTTCCGGATGGAGCCTATCGACCATACAAACGGAAATGCAGACGGCCTGATCTTTATTTACGCCATGAGCGTGGCCACCAGATCCTTCGTCGTCCACGGTGCGTTCCTCTCCAATGGGGATACTGGCACCAGGCTTACAGAGATGCGAGCATGGCAACTCATTGCCGACTCTTGGATGACAGGAGGAGGCACGCAACCTCCTGGAGAAAAGGACGGATTACAATATCTTGTCTTTCGTGATGTGGTGCAGACGCAGACGTGCCTAGCTATGGTGAGCGAGTTACAACATCAATCTTGCCAGGACACGGTCGATGGTCAATGGGCTACAGCGGAATTCACACCTGCTAGCAGTAATTGGCAAATCGCTCCTTTCATTCGCTGTTCCGAACGGGTGGCGGACGCGCTGAGCATAGCTACGCGGGAGATCAAGGCTACTAGGGCATGGGTCGTGTACAAGAATGTTGAAGTGGGCGAAGCGGACTTTCATCTAGTCGTGGAGTTGGGACCTGTTATAAACAACGCGGTCGAACCTTCTAGGATATGAGA